CTTCCTTTCTTCCTTCCTTCCTTCCTTTCTTCCTTTCTTCCTTCCTTCCTTCCTTCTTTCTCTTTAACGTCGTTAGACATAATTAAATCTTGTCTGACAAAAAATGAGCAGGGAATCTTTTTTCTGGGGGGCCAAAGTACTCACAAATGCCTCTCCTTTATCCATCAAACTACTGAATATTCACAGGTGTAGGGACATACAAATTAGAAGCAAAATGTTCCTTGAGATAATCATGCCCCATCTCTTCATAGTTCTTTCTAGTAATACTCCCTAAAGTAAGGTTAGTCGAGTTACTCGCCCACTTTCTTGCCCCACACCAAGCATCAAGCCTGGGATTGGCTGCCTTGTGGATCTTGAATGAAGACTTGAATGGTCTTATTGCTAGAAGTTCCTTTTCTAGACGCTGCTGGAAGTTAGGGAAGATGGTGTTTCCTCCAGTTAGAAAGATATTCTGAAAAAAATAGTGAAATAAATGATAGGATTTATGTTTCTTCGAGCAAATTTGTTTCAGAGAATTTCGAACCTGTGACCTCTTCGTATCGTGCATGCGTCAGTGGCAGACTGCATACCGCGTGCAAATTTTTCTTGGTTGCTACATTAAGAGAAATCATAATGGCTATTGATTCATTTTGCAGTTAATTTTTTCCACCAAAAAAAAAAGTTTCTTGAAGTTTCCATATTGTCGATGAAAAAGCAATTTAGGTAAAGGAATTTACACCCTCTCTCAAACAAGTTAATGTCTCTGGAAAACTCTGTGATGCTAAAAAAGGTTACTACATTCAACACCATCAATACACCTGTTCATTGGTCAAACGCAAAGCATTCTCTCGAGGCTACAAGGTAGTTTTATAGGGTAATTCAAATTTGAACATTGCAGCCTCAGTTGAACCAAATGAATAACTCCAAATGAAGTGATCTATCGCATATAGATATGACCTGAACCAGTCAAGAGCATTCCCATTAATGCCATACTTGGTCGATAGCCTCTCAAGCAGAATACCTGAGCAATAGTGACAAAGACTGCTGATAGATCAAGTACGAGTCACTAAAATCACTACACATCGTTTGTCTATGGCTTGAAGAATATCATTTTGAACCCTTAAAAGAGCAGTCTCGACACTATAAATTTTTTGTAGGCAGATCGAAATGTTTCGTGAAGATTGTTTTACTCTAAGTGATCTATATCAACAGAGTTGCAACCACCTTTGGTCTACATACCTGCACTAGAGAATTCTGTATCCGTGGTGAATAGTGGTTCAATATAAAATCCATTGTGTCTGTTATTCCAGCCTGTTCGATTCCTAACATGGATGGCTCAAAGAGTATCTCTGGAACTCTAGATGATAAGCAAGATGATGGATCATGTCAATTATATGATACAACAAATCCGGCGACAGAAGGAATATCCAAAAATAAATAGTTCTTATCTACTCATTTTAGTTAGTTTCTTCAGATTCAAGGGTGGCATAGGGGTAGTACACTCGCCTCTAACCTCTGGGTTCTCGGGATCAATTACTTAACTCAACATCACATGTGAGTAGGATTTGCTAGGTGTATCCCTTGAGCCAAGGATTTTTCTCCAGGTTCTCCGGTTTCCTCCCTCCGCAAAGTGTAACAAGCAAAAGGTTGCCTTAAGGCCGGTTTAGACGGTACGATTTTCGCCTACAACTATATACAACTTGATTTACACGCTACGACTCGAGTTGTAGGATGGCGCGAGCCTGTTGTATACGATAGTTGTAGGCAAAAAATTGTACCGTCTAAACCGGCCTTTAGAGGTTGTTTCAAGTATCGATAACACTAAGGGCTCTTCATCTCTAGACCCCTTACGGTACGTCAGAATGCAGCTCAATTTGGAGGACATTACGATAGATTTCCAATTCTCAGGAGTTTGAAATTATTTTGTTTTGTACTCCAAATTGAGCTGCTTTGACGTCACATGCAAGGGTCTTTAAAGAGGGGTGAGACTTCAATTCAAAAGGGCTTGTTTGAATGTGTAATTATAAACGTACCCTCCAACGCAGCCGTTCTTAGAGTCTGTCACGCAATGTTTTCCTCGACGTTGCGTGACAGACCCTAAGAATTGCGTCTGCACAGGAGGCTAACTCAAACCTTATTCGCTCTACTCCAAGATGAAGCTGATGGTACTCGCCCCAGTCCAGTGGTGCTCCTTTGGACTCCTCGGATCTGAAACAACAAGTTTCCAACAAAGGATTTAAATTTCTTCCATAGAATATAACAAAGATATTTGGATTTGGATTATTTCCCTTCTCAACACATTTTTGGCGGACACAGGGCTCATTAAATGAAAAAGAAAAGAAAAGAKMAAAAAGAAAAGAAAAGAACCCTACTAAAATAAGGTGCACAAATATAACTAGGCATAAAATTATTAGTAAGAGTGCATACAATATATTCGTGAAAAAGTTAACTAACAAAATTGTACAAATTAGTGCAAAGTTTTGTGAGCCAACGGTCTACTGAGGTCTACTAAACTTACTAATTCGTGCAATTTCATACGAATATTTTAAAGAGATATATGGTATATGCCCTCTACTATCCATTCTATTTTCTATTTGCTAATGAAAATTGAAAAGCTATGAAAGAATTACCTTGCGAATTCTTGGTCATGTTTTTTCAGGAGATTCTCTAATTCGTTTAATTCTTCTTGTTCTTTTTCGCTGTCTGAATCACCGGCATCTTTATTCTACAAAGATTAAAACAAGATTCCCATACGACCATGTAATAATGAGTAGAGCTTGGTCTTCCTTGATTGGAGGGATTTTCACCGGGTTTTGTTTCTCCGCAAACCCTTATAAGCTTAATTCCAATTCTATTTGTGAGTTAGCCGTGCCCTGACTTTGATCAGCCCAGAGGTCGTTTCAGTGTTGGATCTGTGAGTTAGCCATGCCCTGACTTAGATCAGCCCAGAGGTGTTTCAGGGTTCGATCTGTGAGTTATCTGGCGCCTGACTTAGATCAGCCCAGAGGTTGTTCCAGGGTTCAATCTGTGAGTTAGCCGTGCCCTGACTTAGATCAGCCCAGAGGTTGTTTCTGGGTTCGATCTGTGAGTTAGCCATGCCCTGACTTAAATCAGCCCAGAGGTTGTTTCAGGGTTCGATCTGTGAGTTATCCGAGCCCTGACTTAGATCAGCCCAGAGGTTGTTCCAGGGTTCAATCTGTGAGTTAGCCGTGGCCTGACCTAGATCAGCCCAGAGGTTGTTTCAGGGTTCAATCTGTGAGTTAGCCATGCCCTGACTTAGATCAGCCCAGAGGTTGTTTCAAGGTATCGATAAAAGGATGTTCATCATCTTACAATTGCCCTGTACACCATCCAGTCGTCGTCGTTTTGTCCAAACGTGTCTTCTTTGTTCTTCTTGTGAGATTGTCGAGTTGTCCCGTCATCACGCACTGCAGAATAAAACATTAGATTATCCACTGGAATCAGAAAAGTTCATTTCAAGTGGGACAGAAAGCGCCAGTTGTTACCAACAGAGAAAAATGCAACAATGTTGTTACATTGTCCTTTCCCCTCCCCTCTCCGTATAGACTTTGGTATCTCTGAGACCCCTTGGCTCGGTCTTACTGTACAGTGTAGAATAAAGGCAAGTACCAAATTTATCTCAATTATTGTTGTATTACCATTGGGATCATAAGCAAGTCGTGACAGTATCCTCATCCTCTCCATGGAAGCTTGGCTTCGTCGTGTTGCCAGTTCTTCTCGTCTTTGTCTTCGCTGTTGCCGTGCTTCGTAAATTTCCTAGAATAAAGGATGAACCAATTGAAACCGTGATAAGTTAAGGGTAATCAGGGCCTGTGCATAGTAACACAGAAATAGTGCAGGTTAAGCAAAAGATATCCAAAAATGAATGTATAGTCAAACTTTCGATTCGTAAAATGAACTAACCACTCGGCCGGCCTCCTCTCTGCTTTCAGGATTGGTTTAAAATGTTTGTTTATTTATATATATATTTATTTGTTTTATGTTTTATAACCGCCCACAGTATCCTGCCTCCAAAACAGAACCGCGCAAAAAGCCCCCACTCCTCCCTCCCCTCCCCCTCGCACGTCTAAAAGGAGTCGATAATTAACAAAGAACACAGCACCTCTCTTCTTTTTTTCAGTCCTGCCAGCCAAGATTTGAAAGCCTCTTCTTGCTGGCCACTATCTTGCGCTTTTTGCATTTCTTGTTTTTTCTCCTCCTTTAGTCTTTTTTCGGCGCTTGATTCTCCCTTGGTGTCTCCCCTGGGGCTTCGTTGTCTCTTCTTGGTGTCTTGACTCTGTGGCTGCTCAGAGGATGTGCTGTCTACACCAATGAAAACACCACTACCGGATGCCTGGCCCTGAAAAAGAATAAGAAAGAACAATAGGATCCTCTACCGCTTTGAGGCTTTTTGCCAAATAGACTTATTCCACTGTTTTCTCATTTCTGACCACGTGTCTTTCCCTAAAGCATCATATCTTTGTTTTATAACGATTGCGCATGAGAAGACACATGGCTATAGAGCGTTTTCACTCACGTGAGAGGGCAGCCATAAACAATAGAAACTTTCTGCACAGCATTTGCATAAAAATAGAGTTCAATTCCCGGAGGATAGAAAATGTTTTGTTTTGTGACGTTACGTGAAAACGCTCTATGGATACAACTCAAAAAAAGAATCGTATTCTTAAGACAATGACACGTGGTCTGAAATGGGAAAATATTATGCCTAGGTGGATTGGGTCCAAGAAATATATCACATTGGTATTGGACACACTTCAAATCGCAAAGATAAATGCAGTCCCATTTTATGCCAAACAATGCATTGCAATTCAACGGCATTTCAACAAGTCTCTGAGACAGAAGACCGAGGGTATTATCAGTGGTATCTATCACCTACCAGTCAATGTCATTAACGTTGTCTACCGAAAAAAGACATTTACACATTTAGACTAAAAGAAATATCACGTGTTTCCTTGAAAGTTCTGGTATAAAACAAACGCTGAAATACCATTCTCCATCTTAAATCCTCACTAAATGGTCGGGGCATTCTGGATTTTCGATTCAGGAGTTGAATTTTACATTTAAAATTCAGGCTCACTTTAGTCTAAATGTGTAAATGTGTAAATGTCTTTTTTCGGTGGACAACGTTAATGACATTGATGTATATCAATAAAATTCAGTCCCTATTTTGGGCCTTGCTTCTTACCGCTTCATCCAATTCTGCTGCTGCTTGCATCGCTGCAAGTTTTTCTTTTCTTTTCTGCATGGATGTGATTAGGTTTTTGATGGCATTCTGTAGAGACTTCAAGAGAACACATGCAACTGATATTAAAATCATTTAGACATTTTAAGACGTTGAATTTAATCGAGCAGTTCCAAAAGCAAAAAAAAATTATTGAGCAGCTACGTTTTGAGCTCGTCATGACGACATCATCAAGCTTACAGGAAAGGACGCAAAAGAAATCTAAGATTTAACCTTAGTTAGTGAACCTTTTTATAAAGCTTACCTGACTTGTCTGAAAACCACCTCCTTTTAAAGCAGCCTGGGAAAGAGAGGAAACCAGAAACAATTTTTAAATGAAAAAATATTAACATAAATATAAGATATTGTTTGCAAAGTTAAATTTACCTTGAACGCATCTTCGTCTTTGCCTTCCAAATCTTTTATATCGTTTAATTCTTTGAGTCTTGCTTCTTCTCTAGCGATCTTAAACAGAAGTTACATATTAGATCAAGACCGATCCATTCAGGTGTGGCGTTTTCCATTTTTTTAGGATAAAAGATTCTTCGTTTCATTTTTAACAATTACTAATTTGCTACCACAGGCATTATTGATAAGCAATGAAATAATACTCAAGACAAGTAAGTACTGTAACAAGTGGTCTGAAATGGAAAACCATTACGCCCAAACACAATCTGCTAATCGTATCCTGTAAGCATGGACTTTCTCAATTGAAAGTCGCCCAGCGCAACGAAGCCCGACTCTCACTCCACGCAAAACACCAAATTCAGTGAGCATTTCCAAGAAAGTCAGGGAATGCGACCTAATTAGTGCAAGTCTAGTTGAAGTGCATCCTCACTGAAGAGACTTTCGTGAATTCGTTTTAAAAGTCTTCATGTGCCTTCTTGGACAATGGCGCAACGCAACCGTGACGTCATAAAAACGAAGACAAAGGCGAAATTCGGACAAACAAACTTACAAGTTTACTTTCAGCAAATAAATTTCCCAGCCGATCGCAGTTGATCTTAGTTTACATGGGTTATTATTGTAACTTTAAGTAAATATAATAAAATCGGTCCGTATAATCCTCGTAGCGGTTAAACAGAATGCAATAGTTGTCCGAATCTTTAAGCTATTTTTAGGATCATTGCGCTGCGCTGTTGGAAAACGAATACAACCCTCATTTTTCTTCGATTGCATGTCAAATCATCGCGGCCTTGTTGTTGGCATTTAACAAAAGATTTCTCATTAGCATCCATTGTTAACGGCACCACAATGGCCGCCATGTTTATGTCTTTTTACTCTCTTGCAAATGCTTGTAACTCATCAATAGGAAGTTTGTATACAATCATACGTATTACTACTTTGGCAATACTTTTACCCAATGGATGCAGAGATGGGTGAAGAGGACTTACGTACTGTAATAGAAAATATTTTTGAAATATCGCATTACCTTTTCTTCGCGTCTCCTTGCGTTAATCTCCTGTAAACGTTTTCCCTGCTTCTGTCGACGTAGTTTATCTTTTTCCTCATTCTTGCTCGAGTTGTTTTGAGGAACTTGTGGCTGAAAAAGAAAAAAATCATAATGAGTAATGAGTAAAACCAAGACACCGAATTTTCTCAAAATAAAAGACTTGTGCACGTAGAGTTCAAAGGCGTTTTTTTGTTTGGTTCGGCGTTTGGGAGGCCCAAACGAAAATGGTGGAATTTTTTTATTTGTCTTCCCCTCCCCCCCTCCCCCCCTCCNTAATTTTCTCCGAACATGTAACTTACACTATATTTATAAAATACTGATAAACGTTTTAAATAAACTATTGTAGACAATGGAAAAACCTTTTTTGTTCAGGTTCTACGTGTGCAAGTTATCTTAAAAATTGAGCACGAAACAAACAACGATTTTTACGTTGTTCTGATAAACAGAATTTTCTTAAACTTTGAAAAATAATTGGATATCACCTGTTTTTCTCGAAAGAAAATAATAATATATGGGGAGAGGGAGAGAGAGAGAGAGAGAGAGAGAGAGTCCCGTGTAAAATTTGAGGGTTTTGCCCTCTCGATAAAATCGTGAAGATTATTCAGCGGTTATCGAGCGCGCGCACACCGTGGCTGCTCAAATCGAATGTTAAAAAGTAGYCAGCCGAGTCAGCAGCCACCTTAAGCGAGATTTGCAGTCTCAAACAACAAGCAAGCAAAGATTAAGAGAGAATTCTTTTTGTATTCAAGCAGTGAGCGCCAAAAACTGTTTTCGAAGAAAGGCTGTTGTACAAGGCTAAAATCTTGTTATTCAGAAAGTTTAACTTGTTTGGAAGTGGAGATGACCAATGAAAGTGGAATCAAAGTGTTAACCCAAAGAAAAAATTTTATTCGAAAATGAGGTTCAGGCCTTCATTTGCTTATTTCCCATATATTTTCTATAAAAAAAGCCTGACAAAGCAACATCTAACACAAATGCAGCAAAACATTTCTGTACAATTGAAAATACCGCTTCAAACAGGCATTTCATCATACACCCTACTCATAATGGCTGACAAGTGCACGAAAACGCGGTCACCCAGTCATTATTTCAYGATAAAAGACATAAAATTACATGAAATGACTTTAAAGAAGAAAAGTATTTTWAAAATGACCTATGATTTGATCTGAATTAGCGCTAACAGCCTTTATTTTGAATGAGCAGCTTGGCTCAACCTTGCAAGATGACTGGGTGACCCCGTTTCCGTGCGTTCATCAGCCATTATGAGAAGGGTGCATAGAACATCAGTTTCTAACTGTTAAAAAAAGGTTTTGAGTGTTAACCCAAAACAAAAATTGGGATCAAAACTCATACAAAAGTCGAGTTTTTGGCGCTTTTTGCCATTATTGGTATTATTGAAAAACATTTCCTCTTTCCTCAAGTTTAGGCAATGGCAGCGTCTGGTTTACAAAGCGAAAACTGTCGAACGCTAATTGTCATCCAAATATCTCCTCATGCTGTACAAAATAGAAACAAGAAGTCAGGCATAATTCAAGAAACTTGCTCCACAATTTGTGCTCTGTTGAACAGTCATGAAGGTGGGAATCTCAAACTTTCTTCCACACAAGCGTTGACTCCGAACCTTCTCGACGAACTGGTTCGTGCAATTGAGCAAAGTTTAATTGAATTTCTTGGCTTAACGAATCTACGTGAGCTTTGCGAAGTAAGGATCACAGGTCGTGGTAAAGAAATCATTTTTTTCGTAAAACCAAGCGATAGAATTTTTACAGTAAATTATAATTTAGCTTTGCCTACAAATTTTCTCGTGAGGGAAGTCCTCAGGTCCGAACCGCTTGTGAACATTGCTCGTCTCCTGGAAACTGGACCTTTGATCAACTCAAATCTACAAAGCTTTATAAAAGAGTTTTTGAAAGACGCTACAATTCCTGGTGATTTGAGGGAGTCGGATACCGTGCAATTCAAAAAAGTGAAGTCCGATCGAAATAAGAATAAATCGCTGGCTGATCGTATCATTTCGAACAAGATAACTCATTATATATCTGCGTTTGCGAACCACAAAGGTGGCCACGTGTATATTGGTGTTGATGATGAAACTTATAGTGTTCTTGGCGAAAACCTTGATGACAAGGAGAAAAACAGAATCACAGAGAGACTAGAATCTGCAATAAAAAATATGCTATGGCCAGAAGAGCATGGTATACCTGAACTTGGAAGACACTGGAATATCTCGTTTGTTCCGGTATGTGCCGGGGATTCTATGACAGAGATTCCCGGGTTGTATGTTATAGTGATCTCCATATCGGCATGTCCCGGAGGGGTCTTCCTAAATCACCCTGAGACGTATATAATAGAGAATTGCAAAGTAGCCAAGATGGAATTCAAGCGATGGAAGAAAAGAGTCTTACACGACGCACACATGCAGGATATTGTGAAATTTTGCCGAGAAAATTCCTGGAGCGAAAGCCATAGTCGTTTTCCAACGACGACTCCAGAAAGATGCCAGGGTAATGAGCCTGGCTACAAAGATACAGAAGAACATGTCCAACCTATGAACTTGGTAGTTGAATGTACGAGTATTCCTAAAGTTATTTCTCGAGTAATTCCTCGAAATACGAAATCCAAAACTATGTGCGTGAGAATCACAGACGTAATGGAGAAGCATATACAAGATGGAGATTTTGAGAAAGTTCAAACGTTTGCATCAAAAATATGTTTTAAGAGTGAAGCGTTCCATAAACCAGATATCGAAGTTGCAACTCGTTTTATGCTTGCTCTCGGGGCTTATCGAAGGCGAAGCTTTACAGAAGCTTATCAGGAACTAAATAAAGCAAGCGCTCTCGTGACTTCAGCTGAGAACTCGAAGGAATTTGAGATACAACGGCTTCATTTACTGGCCTGTTTTCTCCGAGGGCAAGGTAATCATGGCAAAAGTTATGAAGTAACTTGTGGCGGGTTGCAAGAACTTGAAAGCATCTCTCCTGGATGGCACTCAGCGTGGACGTTAAGCGATGCTGGATATTTGTTTAGTATCTTAGCAGGAGAAGAACGAAATAAAGAGGTCCGTCAGTCTCTCAAGCGACAAGCAGTGAATCTCTACATCCAAGCTATCGAACACACAAAGAAATTTGGAGAAGATTCGAATGACACTTGTAAAGCTTTGACTGCAAAGTCAAATCTTATGCACCGTTGTCATCTTCGACTAGCAATGCTGTTTCTTGGCTGCGCCCCCTTCGCCGAGAAAGACGATGATTTTAGAGACGTCACTGACGAAGATATGAATAACGCTGTTGTCAACATATTGGTCGTAGAGGAAAGTGTTCTGAAGGGTGACTCTCTTACAGAAGTGAATGAATGTTACTTGAGTCTTGCAAAATCAGACATCAATTATCGCAGATCACGTATCAATGTAGAACAAGGCGAAAACTACCACAAAAAAGCCGTAGAATGGGCCACAAAAGCGCGAACGCTTGCAGAAAATGACCAGTTTCCTGGAATTTTGAAATACGCCCAGAGTCGCCTTGACCGCCTCTCAACAGCACGACGCTACAGCAGTGTCGAGGAAGAACTACTCGCTGACTTAGACAAATCTAACGAGTAAACCAAATATATTTACTTTGGTTTAAGAAACTTCCTAGTGTAATAAACCCCTTTAGCTCGTGGATGTATTTTCTCATTTCAGACCACGTGTTATTTTCTGAGTAAGGTTTTTTGTTTGATTTGTTTCCATATTTATGGGTCTTTTCATGCGAAACCGTTAATAATAATAATGATAATGATAATAATAATAATAATAATAATAATAACAGATTAGTTATCAAACCCTAAAACAGCCTCTGGGCTGATCTAAGTCAGGGCACAGTTAACTTATAGTTTGAACCCTGAAATAAACTCTGTGGCTGTGATCTAGTCAGGGCATAGTTAACTCACAAATCAAACCCTAAAACAGCCTCTGGTTTAATCTAAGTCAGGGCATGGCTAACCCACAGATCGATTGCACTACTGCAATATAACACTGTACTACCCGTCATTTCCTGAATGTTTGTGCACATTTACCTGGCATTCATAATGTGTTACAACATCCCTATCAAACTGTGTCTTGACAGACCAGCGGAGCATTTCCAGGTTACCAATATCATTACCAAGAGCAATACCTCCAGAGTCTGSTTCTCCCTTGAAAGATAAAGAGAAATGGAACTAGTAAGTCCATCCAAGGTAACAATTGTAATATTATGAGAAATTGTCATAACTTTAAACCAATTGTACAATTTGTTAATACATATACAGTGTATGTCAAAAATGCCCCTCAAAATTCTAGAAATCACATTTTTGAGGGTGTCAATATTTCAAACCCCTTATAGTTGCCTTTCATGGTCATTTGCCTTGGTAAACATTTCGGTCTGGCAACAACCCTGTTTCATAGTATTGTTCATCCCAAAATAAGACCACAATATACCAGGTAAGTATATAGTGTATAAATGGATCAGCTGTTACATTCTAACCTTTCTTCCTCTTGACTTGGCTACTAGATTTCTGAACACAAGCTTTGGCTTACTGTCTGTTGCCCATCCAGCACGGCATTGGTAGCCTCCTGCCAAAAAGGAATATCCATCCATTGATAAACTTAATAGGACGAAGAAGCTAATAAGGTTTGAGGTATGAGATATATAATTTAATACAAAGATGGTTAAAACTTATAACCAGACGAGTCAGACCTATTTATATGCCAATAGAGGAGGTATGTGAACTGATAATAAAGACTATATTTACGTACCATTGTCGATGACCAAAGGAACCTTTCCATCACGAATAGAGCCAGGATAGTCAAAGACAGCATCAGGTACTGGCTCAAAGTCTTTGAATGTAAAAATATGCTTTTCTCTGTTCGATTGTTCTGAAAAATGAAAGAATATTATTTTGAACTTACTTTTGCGGTTAAGATATTTGATTTATGGAATTCGAGGACGACGAAGGGTGAATAATCGTAGTAAAAATAAAGACAAACCTTGTGATCCTTCCACCATTTTGAATTTGTTAAAATTCCACAGGGAACCCAAGCTGAGAAGAAAGATAAGACCAGAAAAAATGCTCTTTATTGGATTTTTGAGATAGTGCTCGATTTACCCATTCGCTTGTGTTACTTGGCATACCACCTTGACCCAAAGATACGAAAAGCTCGAAACGAGTTTCATTCTGGGTTTATTTTTGTTTATTTTTGTCATATTGGGCCCCCTGTGGTTTGAGGTTGCTGGCTGTGCGTCGTGGTTTCCTACGCTTCTCTCGTCTTCTCTCAGCTGCATCCCGCCTGTTTTGATCAGATTATCAAACACGGAAAACGGCTTTATATTTCTTTGTCCAAGGTGTTCCAAAGATATAACGCAACAAGCAACCAGCCAGTAATGATGTATTGGGCTGCCTGTGGTTCAGAGTAATGATTTTAAAATATGTCACATGGGAGGGGAGGGAGGGGCAAATCACAACAAACAACAAACAACAAACGAAGATGGCGGCCGTCGTCCATGAACGACAACTAAACGAACGCTTCGTTCGCTTAAAACTCCTGGTCAAAGCCATTCGAAAAGGTAACATAACCGAAGCTAAAGATTTACTAAACGCCGGTGTGAATGTAAATTGTATGGCTGGGGGAGTTACGCCGCTTCATGTGGCAGCAGCACACGACCATGTTGAATGTGCGGAATTCCTTCTTCAAAATGGCGCCAAGGTTAATCAAACTATTGCAGATTTTACAACGCCCCTTCACGTAGCAGCTCGCTTTGATAGTCTTGCTTGTGTTGTGTTGTTTATAAATCATGGTGCTGATGTGAATGCAGTGACTAAAGAAGGTATGTCCCCGCTTCATTTAGCTGCAAGAAACGGCCATTTAAAAACAGCTGAGGTGTTAATGGCGAAGGGCGCCGAAGCTGACTTTGCTTTAAAGTCGCCACATCCTCAATCGCGTTCACATGGCGAAAATTTAACCCCATTGCACTTCTCTGCTCGTCATAATCACCCTGAATGTATTAAAATCCTGGCGAGATATGGAGGGGATTTGAACAGACCTTCTGGGAAGAGTCTTGCTACCCCTCTACATCTTGCTGTACAACATAAACATCTCGCTTGTTCGTCTGCTCTGGTCTCTTATGGAGCCAATGTCAATGCTGCCGACTTTAAAGGCAATACTCCATTGCATGTAGCCTCGACAGTAGACGATATAGAGACCACAGAACTTTTATTGCAAGCAGGAGCCGATGTGGACTATTATAATAATGTTGGTAAACAACCCATTGATCTTGGAAGTGCAACTATTAAATCCTTCCTGGAACCCCTTGTTGGACAGCCTAGGTCACTTATGTTCCTTTGCGTACTGGCTATTCGCAAAGAGCTTCATTTCAATCAGAGCAGGAACTCAATAGAAGAATGGGTCCCTTATCTACCCCTGCCAGAGACTATTAAAGACAAGTTGTGTTTTAAAGATGTTTTAAACATTGTTAGCTGATACATCAACTCATACTATTTCCATATAATCTGTAACCCTCTGGTAGTACTGGTCCAGTACTATTTTTAGGATTGACTTATCAAACACTATGAAGGTTTTGCTCCATCATGTTGTGGTAGCCATGACAGGAGGCAGGAAAAATTGAATCTGCATCTGTACTGCAAACCGGTTGGCTCAGTTGGTTGAGCTTTGGACTTTCGTGCGGGGGATCGTGGTTCAAGTCCCGGCCAGACCAACATTCAGGGTCTTAAAATAACTGAGGAGAAAGTGTTGCCTTTGTAATTACATCTGCAAATGGTTAGACTTTCAAGTGGCTCGGATGGCCACTTTAAATGGCGGTCCCATCTCTCCACACTCATCGTTACTAACCAACATCGGAGGGACGTAAAAGAACCACTGAGGACGTAAAGAAACCCTAGCCTGCATAGCCATGCGTTACTTGTACCCGCAAGGAACGCCTGGCTACACAGGCTAAAGAAACCCTGGCAGTGACCACCCTCAGTGCCTACATTTCATACTAACCATCTCTCATGCTTGTAAATTGTATAAATTTTGTCATTCACAACTCAATGTAAAGCACCTTTGGTTATATTCATATAGAAAGGGCTCTATATAAATCATAAATCATCAAATCATTATCAGTCTAATCTAATTTACATGAGAAAGAATTCAGTTTCCCAGGGGGAAAAGACTCTATTGTTGTGCCTCCTGTCATGGCTACCATCACGTGATGGTGCAAAGCCTCTATAGCCATGGAGAAGGCCAAGCTTGTGAATATCTTCTATGGAGAAAAAAATCTAGACTGTTGTTGCCTAGGGAGTGGGGGCAAGCTTGAAGCGGCATGGGGAGAGAAAAAGTGACCATGTCATCACTCGACACAAATTTACTCAACAAATTTCCTGAAATAAAGTACACAGAAGTCTTTAAAACAGAGTTTATTTTCCCTCTTTATTCACTAAATAATCAAAAGTAATTTCACAAATCAATAACTTCAAAACCTTTCCCCCAAAAATCATATAAAATTAAAATATTGTTTTTAATTTAAAAAAATTTAAATCTACCTTTCTAACCAAATTTATGGTACGATTTCTAACATAATAGTGAGATTCCTGGTCTCCACAACAAAGATACAATTATCCATGGGCATTAAGAAAATGCAACTTTTAAGATTTTTAAACTGAGTGGTCAGAGTAAAGGAATGTGTTATTCCAGAAATTATCCAAACCCCCTCCCCCCCCCCCCAGAGGAATTTGGGATTTCTGAGGGGTAGGGGGAGTTGGAGAAAGAGCAAAATTACAGAGTTTGCATGGAAGAAAATTGAATTTCTGGGGGTAGGGTGGTATGGATAATTTCTGGAACCACACAATTTATCTAAAGTATCCTTTAGATATGCCATATTTTTATTTGTTACTATTTTCATTGCATTTTGGTCCTGATTAAAATGCTATTGCTGGAGTGGGATAATTTATATCTTTTTCTGCATATACTTCAATTGTTTTTGTGTGGCAAACTGTTGACATTTTAAAATAAAAATTGCATCCGAGGTGTTGGGACCTTAAAGCTAGTTTAATTCTCTCTCTCCACAACCTTAATACTCCAGCTCATGCAATTTAAATTTAAATTTTCCTCTGACATAAAAAGTTCAAAAATATCACAATAAAATAAATTAGACATTAGTCTGTTAAGTTCCAGCACCTAATGCATAAATATTACTGGCATGCTCGCAGAAATGCTAAATGGATAATTATCAGAACAAATAGCAACTCATCCCTTCATTATTTAGTTTTGTATTTGCTCTCTATTTCCCATATATTTCCATATATAATTTGTTATTAATCATTTTTTTTCCAACTCCCAGCTAATAAGTAATATTTCAAACACGCGAGAGAGTTCTTCCTTCGATTTCCAAACACCGAAAAGTGAGTTGAAAAAACGAGGCACAGCAAAGTTTTTTTAACTGACTTTGAGGTGTTTGGAAATCGAAGGAAGAACTCCCTCAAGTGTTTCAAATTACTTCTCAAACTCATGAATATTTCTTGGAGAAAATCAAAGAAAAAGCTTACGAAATTTAATGCAAATTAAGAACACATTTCCAAACCACCGTCACAGTAGTGATTTGCTTTGTTTTCTCCTCATTAAATATTCATGAGTTTTAGGAGGTTTAACTAATAATTTTCTTTAAATCATTCAAGTTAAGCAATTAAGTTGCAGTAGTTCAGCATAAGTACAGTTGTAATGACAACATGTGAAAGTGCAGATATTACTTTATGGTGTAGACACACTAACTGGGACCACTCAACCAATCACAACATAGATTTAAAACAAAAGAATCAAACTTGAACCAATCAGAAGCAAGCAATGAAGGCTAGATATCTGTGAAAATGTTTGACGTAACCATGGAAATGAAAGATTGTGATTGCATGGTTAAGATCAATTATATGATACTGTTTTGATTTTTCCTGACTGACTATAGTTTTTTTAATCTTAAATTTAGTTAAAGTGGTACTCTTAGTGACGTGTCTGCAAACTAACATTGACTTAAAGCTTTATTCTACCCAAATATAAAGGGTTAGCAAACCATGAAGTACTAGCTTATAAATGTTGTTCTGCTTGCCGTGCTACTGAAAAAAGGTCTTACTAAAATATTGTTTAAAATCTAATTAAAACCTAATGTAGATATTGATAAAACCTAAATAAAATGGCAAAGCATTTTAACAGATGGTGCATTCATGGCAATGAACAAAGCCAAGGTACAATTATTAAGACTGCTTTCTTTTCTTTGAAAATACATTTTTTAGTTCTTTTGATTACATTAAAGGTTACAGTATATAAAGACCTCTTTAACTTGGAGGTAATGTTTTGACATTTCAGACCATGTTATTCCCTAATTTGAGTTGTATCCATATTAATGTTTCCATTAAACAAAGAAATGATACTTTAGGGAATGACACTGGGAAACATTAAGCCAAAGGTAAAGAGAACGAGGGCTATTGACCTACCACAAGGTTCATACAGGAAAATGTATTGAACTAAGCTTGGACAATATAGAGCATTTTCCCTCAAGCGACAAGGCAGCCATATTGATTTACCAAACTATAGAAATTTTCTGAACAATTTTTGCATAAAAATAGGGTTCAATTCCCAGAGGATAGAAAATGTATTGTTTTAGTACACCAACATGGCCATTGTGACGTCACGTGAGAATGCTCCATAGTTTTTGTCCTGATCTTGGAGGAAACAGAAACTTTGAAATTCAAATTGAAAGCCCAATTTAGATGGCTGAAGTCCAATCACCTTAATTTGCAAACCAATTACATTACCTGATTTTCATTCAGACTAGCTTGCCATATCGTACTTCTGTATACTGACAAAATTCTGATTATGACCTTTATACCATCAAGTGTTTAACAAAAATAATGCAAATTTCCAATGAAGCCCCTCCATACAGTACCTCAAAATAATATGGCAAGTCAGTCTCCCATTTTTTCACCCCTCCCTCCCAATAAATTAAGACCATTTACAAATAATATTATAGCTTTTTTAGCTCCTAAAACCAATTTGGTATCAGCACCTCACTTTGCTGTTTTGATATCATCACAAAGATGCACATACTCAACCTATCAAAACGTGAAAGTGAAGCTTTGATACCCAATAGCTCCTTTCACAGTTTCCTGCACCATCTTGAAAGGTAACTGTGTCTTTGCATCAAAGCAAGACAAATGGTGAGCTTGCAATAATAGAGTAATGGGAATGATTGTCCTAGGTGTTAAAAAAACAACTATTTCATTGCAAGGTCACGTTTCATCTCATTTTGATGCAAAGGCACAGCTTAGTACCTTTCAAGATGGCACAGGGAGCTGTAAAAGGGACTAATGGTCATCAGTAAAAAGCACAATTCAAAGTTTTCAAAAGGAAATCAAGAACTTGTGCATGGAAGTGTTCATAGCACAGTCAGGTCCCAGCACATATCAAACGTAAACTGAAACCATTCATTTACCCTTGGAATGATTAGTAGCTTCATTTGAAGCAGGTTTAATCATGGGGTAGTTGTTGTAGGATTACCACTTTTATCGACAAGTCCAGCAGTCATTTCAACATCTTCAGGTTTCTTATTTTGGGCAGCTGCTCCTCTGATATTGCAAGAATAATATTGTACATATTGCATTAGTCAGATGAGCAATAAATAGGTCAACTAACCAACATTTTAACATGCAGTTGACTGTAGTTGTTGGCCATGGGTGAATAATCTAGATTAGATGACTTCTCTTACTTTTTGCCAATAGCAAGTACGCCATATAAAGCAGCTGTGATACAGATAGACCCAGCACCAACAAAGGTAGAAACTTCTAAGCACATGATAATTGGGACCAAAGCAACCCTGATGAGAAAAACAAGTATATTCCAGTTACAGTACCACTCAATTCACCAAGATATTTTTTTACGTACCACAAATATACGAGAATTACTTAGAAAATGCATTGATAATTCATGAAGGAAACACAATAGAAATCATGACCATGAAGGAGGTTTTATATCTGATATAGATTTGTCTTCATTTGCATAAACTTTAACTTGGATTTTCTCTATCAAACTTGGTTCATTTCGTAAAGAATTCTGTACAATATGAGAACATACATCATGAGTTTTCTAAGCCGTTTAATAAACTCTCAGATCGTGTTTTATCGGGTCTAGAACCACTCGGCTACACCTCGTGTTTTATACCCGATAAAACACTCTTGCTCGTTTATTAAACATTACATAACATACCACATAGAGTGAAGTCACTGAACCTGTGAAATACTGTAGATATTAGACTATAAACTTTAGTAGACATGAATTCCATTGTTTTCTGGGTCCATTTAACTTACACGTTGACTAGTATTTTTTATTTCATGGTTTAAATGCCTTCATTCTCCATATAAAGATTACTCATAAAATCATATATAATATTTACCCAAAATATAATGTTGCTCTCATCCAGAATTTAAAGTGGTCTTCAACCCAGTTGCTAATGGTTACCATCCATCCCATATATTGACAACATGCAGGGACTTCAAAAGCCATAACAAAAATTCCTAAAAAGCTGAAGAAAATAAAAACAAGTTATCTTCCTTTATTCCTCTGAATCTCGGAATATTGAGTCGCCAACAAAGTGGCATTTGCCGGCAATTGTTTTGCAGGAAATTGAAAAAATGAAAGAAAATGCTATTCCTATCAATACTAAAAAGGCAACAAAGTATGGCCTAAGAGTTTTGCTAAAAGTTTTGCATGAATTTGTCACGCAAACTAAAAGTTTCTGTTTGTTTGTTTTTATTGAATTATTTTATATATAAATAAGTTACTCTGTACACAAGTTGGTATATGCTAAAACAATTATTCACCTCGGGCTCAGTGAATATGGAGAATATTTACCTCGCCGCTCAAAGACTCGCGTCTCGGTAAATATTCCCCGATATTCACTTCACCTTCGCCAAATAATTGCTATATAGTCCTTACATCATCAATAGCCCCATTCCAAAGCATTTTGCAGATAAGGTAAACAATACAAAGAATCCCATTGCTGTACAACCTAGAAAAAAATATATATTAAAAAAAACAATTATATGAAGACTTCAAAAGTTTATGTCAATCACAAAGATTTCTTATTCCATTTTTTCCCCTTTTTTTACATTTCTTAATTTCAGTGTACAGGTTTATAAAAACAATATTTTTAAATTAATGTTTGATGTAGTAACTCAATAAGATATTTTTCAAATTTAATGGGTTTAATATTATATATGCTCATTTATTGCTCTTTTTCAAAAGAAAATCTAATCGAGTGACTTGAAACTAGAGATTAATTTATTCAATTTAGCCCATAGACGATCTGCAGGGACGTCAATAACAGCTGTTTGTGATGAATTTGGTGAAGAAAGCTCTCAATTGCTTGAACCTCAAATGTACTACAGATTTCTCTGATTTCATAATTTAAAGTTGTAAAACGATACACAATAAGCCAAATATCATTTTTACTTATCGAAACGAGAGAAATCTGAGTTCATAACGAAGCAGAATAAATTACATTTTGGCTACAAAATTCATTGAAGGCAGGTGACAGTATTGAAGTACAAGGAATATGAATCAAAGTGAGGGTAGAATCGTCAACAATTCGACAATATTTTAAATATTTACAGCCAGATTTACAATTATCCTACATTTTCGACTAGTCCTACTAACACTCTGGGGTATAAAAAGTGGTTATACTGTAATAAATAAGGAAAAACGTCTGCATATTCGTAGAGTTCCGGTGTATAAAAAGTCATTATGGTGTACTTACACAACGCCGAAATAGCTCCCCACGCCCGGACTACAAGCCTCATTCCTTTGGGGACGTCGCTATTCGTTGAACTTTCTGCCATGATGAAGGTAATAATTTAGCTGCGATCAAAGATTTCGAAAAATTTCTTTTACATTTCAAGAGTTTTTAAAGCCGTGAAGATTGTTTTTGTATTTGAGCAGGAGATACGGTTCGCGTGTCATCTAGTAACACGACTAAATATCGAACTCCCGAGAGAGAAAATCTCACCGGAATTTACCTTATATGGTTGAACCGAAAATCTATTGACAGATTTTCAAGAAATCCGAACTATCTCGGTGTATTTTCGGGATCCGATTAAACGATTCGAGGAGAAGGAGAATGTAAAGGAAGAAATCGTTTTTCAGTAGTTGTTTTCTTCTACGATGAGAGACTTGGAGCTTCAGGGCTTGAAGTCGCTGAATGCCGTCCCTTTAATACAAATTAAAGTCACCAATGCTTCGGGGAAAGAAGTAGCTTTGACGGTGTCATGCAAAGATAGAGTAGCTGTCGTAAAAGATAAAGCTTTAGGTGGAGAATTTTACAAAGATTCGTCGTCCTACAAACTGGTTATTGGAAAATGTCGTCGTATTTTAGACGATGGAAAAAGTTTAGAAGAAGAAGGAGTGCAAGAAGATGGTAAATACAACCCTTGGAGATCTGTTTTTCTGTTATTTAGAGATCAAGTTGAGGTTGAGAATTTATTTTGTTCATTTTAGACGAGCTGGTTTTACTCAAACGTCGTCAAAATACGAATGAAGATAAGGTGAGTCGAAGTTTATGACTTTAATATTCGTCCACAGCAGACTATTAGATAATTTCATTTTAATAATTCTTCTGAAGTTAACTTCTTTTTCCTTTATTTTAGTTGTTACTTGTGTTTATATTGTTTTTTAACGGGACGACAGCACGTAATAGCCACATAATGCAAAAGCAACTGTTTGTGTTTACCTTTGAGATTTGCTTTATCCATTATGCGACACTTACGTACCATATAGATTCTTCTTCCTTTTTTCCTTTTTTCTTTTTTCCTTTTTCGTTTTATCTAACGCTCTATTATTTATTACTTATTTCTTCTGTAATCCTCGTACATGGTTAAATTGCTACTAATGGAATTAAGCAACGAAATGATATACTTATTTTAGGTTTGCCTCTGATACAATGTACTGTCGTAGAGTAGTCTCAATATTAACCTCGTATTCTCTGGCGGACTAGTACTACTACAGTCTCTAGTTCTTTTGCAATAATACGAATGGTATCTAACTCAAGAGAAAACTATTGCCATTTTGCAGATGAAAGCTCTTGAGCAATTATTTTTAAATTATAGTACTTGCGTCTTGCGTATAATTTTTGATCAGTAAGCATATAAGCATAAGCATGTTTGATGATCTTCAGGGGGCGCGATGGGGAGGATGGGGGGATATGGAGAGGGAGTGGGGGCGTGCTGAATAAATTTGCTTTCTTCCATCATTTCTTCAGTTACATATAAACTTTAGAGGTTACAAAGCAAGGTTGAGGAGATCAGCCACTGCTTTTTGGGTATTTTACTAGTTAAGCAGTTAAAAATAGAAAACTGCTACCCCTTGCTTCTTACTGCAATTTTTCATAAACATGCTAACTCTGTGTCTGCGAGCTGCACATGAAAATTTGGTTTTTGGCTGCCGTCAATCAAACCTAATCAGTCGGTACCTCTTATACTTTTGACTGGCGGTAGCAAAAAACCAAATTTCATGCAACTTGGAGACAGAGAGTTTGCATGTTTATGAAAATTGTGGTAAAACATCTTACAATGCAGCTCATACAACACTCCTGTTTCGAGTTCTCTGTTCTCAATTTTTAATTAGTCATGTTGATAATTCTGAGCACCTAAATAAGAAAAACTGTAAAGATTTGAAGAATAAGTTTACTAGTGAGCTTGTTTAATCCTGGTATCATGAAGTTATTCAGGATTTGATAAAATTTCTGTTATACAATCTTAGAACCAGAAGAGAGTGTCTTCTAAGGGGCCAGATATTGCCACAATACAAAGACTAACCCTTAAACTGGAAGCAAGAAAAAAAGAAGAAACGCCACCATCCTCATCGGGAGGCAGCATTGATGTGAGTACCTTATTGACTCCAAATGATATATATATGATAATTGATAAATCTCTTTATTTAAGTGTCTAGTCGTTATAGCGCATTTGCACAATTGAGGACACTTTTCACTCACACGCACTACCACTATATTCAGTGTTCTATGCATAAAACACTGAACTCACATGTTGGTTTTTACAGATGGAGGAACCCGGAGAACCCAGAGAAAGCCCTTGTGGCAAGGGAAAGAACAACACATCAAACAAGCACAACTCACATATGGTGTCCACAGGGCTTAAACTACTGATCTGAATATTTGGAACTATCTGTATACAGGGGTGAAAGACGACATGTTACCCCATGTTACACTTATGTTGCTTTATTCCTCAAAACCCTTCCCATACTAGTCTGTTTAGACTCTGTGGAAACACTATAGTATGTTCATGGCCAAAGCATCCATGGAATGTAAAGTTCCAGAAATTATCCATACCCACCCCACAGAGGAATTTGGAATTTCTGAAGGGTAGGGGGTCAGAGAAAGAACAAAAATTACAGAGTTTGTATGGAAGAAAATTGGAATTTCTGGGGGTAGGGGGGGTGTCTTAAAAAAATTTCTCCGTGGGGGGTATGAATAATTTTTGGAACTACACAATAAGCACTTTCCAGTTCATATGCAGTTTGATATATACATGGTTATATATCACCCTTTAACTCTATGTTAAAAGCAGTGTTGTTTGAAGCACTAACCAAATGCTGTTCTCCTTTGTTTTAGTTCAACACAGAATTAAGGAGAATCTTGGTCTCACTTATCGACTCTTCATTATTGCTTCAGTCTATTGATGAATACGATGAGGAAGGCAACCTTTATAAAGGTACAGTCTTGTTGCAAAGTTTTATACACCGAATCGAAATATGGCAACCAATTTGAATAACTATTCTGCACTGATTAGCCTTGTGTAATCCATGTGGAAACCTAAGAGCATTGACTCACATGTATGAGAGGCCAGTCAGTCGCTAGTCAGTCCAGAATGATAGTTTTTCAAATTGGTCGCCACATTTCAATTCAGTGTATACACCTGAAAAAACGTAGTCGGGTTCGAGAAGGTCATATCATCGAAGCTAAGACAGAAAAGGATTTTGGGCACTCCGAAATGTGTATCATATTTGCATATAGACATGTAAAAATGCACAGTAGAGCAAAGTCGGTCGACCTAGATTAACAACATGCCAAAGCCATGATGCATAAAATGTGCACGGGAAGGGAAAACTGCAGTACGCATGAAATTAGCATAATTGTTTGTCTTCCCATGCTCCACTTCAGTCTTAGATTTTATGATACATGTATAACCTTTTTTTGAACCCAACAATGTTTTTTCAATTAGGTGTAAAGGTGCAAGGAAACTAACATTAACCATTAGATTTCATCATTTGATTTGTAAAATGGTAGCAGAGGACTGAAAAGGTAAATAATGGCTGGTCAGCCGCTGGTGGAAATCACTGGCAATGCAAAGATTTGACCAGACAA